TGCCTGCTCCGGGATGAGCTCGTCCTTCCGAAGCCCGCAGGCCCCTCCCTGGCGCGCTCCCACGCGTTTCTCCCTCCTCGGCCCTGGGTGGGCTGCCTTCCTGCGGGCGGAGGGCCCCTCCTCCCTTTCATGCCCGCCGTCCTCCGACCGACGACCACCCCGGAGGAGTCCCAGCCCCGGCCTCCATCTGCGTGCTCCGTCCACCCGAGGCTCGCTCTGGGGCCACCCGTTATGCAGTCTCTAACCCGGCCTGGGAAGAAAGAGGCGCTGGGAAAGCCGCAGCCTTGGGTCCGAGTCGCCAGCCCAGCTCCGTGACCTTGAGTCAGGCGCTCAAGTTTCCCTCTCTCTACAGTTGGGGCCGCATAGTTGGCCTCTGGTACTGGTGGTTGGGGGTCAGATGGGCAGAGCGGAGATACGCCTCCAGGGAACGGGAGGCAGTATGCTGGGGGCCTCCACCCCCTCTCCCTGGACCAAACTCGCTTCCTGCCGTCAGTCTTGGCCTGGAGGATGACTCTCATCCCAGCCTCCTCTTCAGCCTCTTCCCCCTTACTGGGGCCCAAGGCTTGAGGTGGCACGACAGTAAGGGTGTGAAGACCCCCAGAACTCCCGCAGCCTAGGGCAGGATCAGGTCTCCTCCCCTGGGTTTCTCTGGTGGAGCCATCATATAGGTCCGCTGGTCCAACACAGGTCCTATATGCCAGCTCCTCCAGCCCTGCCCTCACCTACGGCCACTGCCAGCCCTCCCCACAGCTGGTTGAAGGCCTGCTTGGGCAAGGGCCCACCTCACTGGAACCCCTAGGTTCCTGGGTCCTCATGGAAGGGCAGGCTGTGGCCTTGGAGCTTGGCTGTGTGTCTCTCCAGGGCTCAGTCTCTCCAGCTGTACAATGGGAAGGGGCAGGCTTGGGGGATCTTCCAGGGCCCCCCTGCTCAAGGGTGCCAGGCCCCGAGGATGACTAAGCATGCCTAGTGGCCTGCTTGAGGAGGGGCCTGGCCTCCCCAGAGCAGGTGTCTAGGAGTGCCCAGCTCTGCGGCCCCAGGCCAGGGCATAGCCAAGGTTCAGTGGAGGCCAGCACCTCTGGGCGCCCTGCCCTTCCCCTCCCAGGGAGCTTCAGCTCAGGGTGCTCCAACCCAGCCCTGTCCAGTCCCTGCCTTTTGAAGAGTCCTTTTAGTACCTCTTTCTGGGCAGGCCGAGGAGGAAAGGGGGCTGTGACAAGAGTGTCCCCTGCTGCCTTATTTCTAAATCCTGCTGCTTGCTTTCTCTGCATTTGCCTTGCTAGACCTTGAGTTGAAAAATGCTGTTGCTGGGGGGGTGGACATCTGATCCTCCTCTTCAGTTCACAGATAAGGAGACTGAGGCCCAGAGAGGCTTAGCAACTTAGCCAAGGTCTCAGCAAGACTCAGACCTCCACCCTTTCTCTTCTCCTCGGCACAGTGTGTGCTGAGGGTTTGTGCAGGTGCACGTGGGGCCAGCGGGGCGGGCTGGGCCTGCACCGAACCACGCCTCCTGAGAGTGGTTCCCAACTCCCACCCCTGCAGGAAGCGAGTTGCCCGTGTGTGCGAGCTGCGGCCAAAAGATCTATGACGGCCAGTACCTCCAGGCCCTGGACGCTGACTGGCATGCAGACTGCTTCAGGTAGGGGGGCCGGCCAGGAGTGTGTGCCCTGAGCACGGCCTAGGAGACCCGGGTATTCCTCCTGGTGCTGTCTCTGCTTGTGACTTCCAGCGAGTCCTCAGCCTCAGTTTCCCCATGTGTGAAATGAGACATTTGGGCAAGAAGATCCCTAAAGGCATTTCTGTTTTGTCATTCTAGACCTCTAAGGGGCGGAGGGGAGAGACATGCATTTCAGCCAGTACTACCAAGGCCTGCTGGCACCTAGGCAGGGGAGGAGGCGGAGAACAGTGCACCCTTGACCTCTGGTGCTCATGCTCCAGGGAAGGGAAGGAGACAAACCTGGCACTGGGGGAAACTGGGCCTCCTTCACGGCCCCGGGGTGGTTGTGAAGATGCATAACCCAGTAAGACCAGCCCCTTCCCTTCAGACACCAGCTCCCAAGTGTGGGAAGGAAGTGTCAGGGCTGTGGCCGAGCACATGGGGACCCAGAGGTGGCCCAGCAACCCAGTAGGACCATCCTAAGGAGCAGGGGCAGGGAATAGCCTCAGAGTTGCCTGTAAGGCCAGAGCAGGGGTCTCACAGAGTGTGAGATGCCCCAGGGGGAGAAGTGTGGCAGGAAAGAATTCCAGGCGGAGGACCCAGGAGGAGCAGAGGGTAGAATGGTGACAGGGCCTGGTGCAGTCAGCCAACAGCAGAGTTCAAGCGGGAAAGCACTGGAAGGGAGGGGAGGTGAAGCTGGAAGACCCAGCTGGGGTTGGGGCATCGACCACCAGCTGATGGAGTTTATTTTAGGCAGTGGAAACCTCTGACAAGGTTTCTTGTTTTTCTATTTTGAGAATAATGTCTAACATTTTCTATAATTTAGTAAAGGCCAGGCACTGTTGTAAGGTAACTGTTGTAGAGTTAAATATTGTGTTGTCTCCAGTAATTGGGACACAGGTTAATTCTCTTGACCAAAGTCACATAGGCAGGGAGGGAAACGAATACACAGTGTGCGTGCTGGCTAGGGAGCCCAGAAGAGAGGCGGCACCATGCTCTGGGGTTCCCAATCAGGTGTTCAGAAGGAGGGCTTCAGGAGGAAGGGGCTCTCAGCAGGCAGAGAAGACCACGTACACAGAGACAGGGAGGTGGGACGATTGGAACAGGAGCAGCGAGTCAAGGGACGTAGTGAGGAGGCAGAGTTAGGATTGATGTGTGACGGGCCCTGAACGCCAAGATAAGCACCTTCCGAGCGCAGTAGGGAGCCAGCTGAGGGTTTCAGAAAGCAGGGTGGGGGACACGTGGGCAGAGGTACTATTGAAAAACGCCATCCCAGTGGGCAGGTGGTGGCAATTCGGCAGGGCAGGGAGGGTCACAATAGTTCAGGGATCTGCACTCGTATGGCCTGACCTAGGACCATGACTAAGAGTGGAGAGGATGTCAGATATAGAAGGGACAATATTTGGCAAGTGTCAGTCGTATTAGCTACCATTTATTGAGCAGTCTTTTAATGTTTCATTAAACCTTCACCGTAACCGAACGAGGTGCCATTGTTTGCCCAGTCTGCGTGTGAGAAATGGAGGCTCGCAGAAATTGGCTGGGGCTGAGTTTGAACCCATGTCTCACCCCTAGTCACTGCAGAATTGAAGAGGGGAGGGCCTTGGGGTGGGGCTGGGGGCTGGGGCGTGGAGGGGGCAGACTCTAAAGTGGTCTGGGTTTGTACCCTGGGTGCTGGGGAGGGCAGTGTCTGCTGGCTCTGGTAGAGTTGGGGGCTGGGCTGGGGATAAGGTGTGCCCTGTCCACGCTGAGTTGGAGGTGGACTCTGCAGGGGGCCAGTGCCCTGCCCAGAGCTGGCCAAGGTGGTCTGAGACCGGTTAGAGGTGGGAAGGCCAGAGAGAATGGCCCACTCAGGGCTTGGCACTGAGATGCTGGATGGGGTTTGAAATGGGGCCAAGAGAAATCAAGGAGGAACTTTGGGGGCCCCGTGCCTGGGGTGGGGAAGGAGATGGAGCCTTGAGAGACATGGGGGAGGCCTGGGAGGGAAGCAGGGTGCATTGAACCTAGCGTTGGAGGGTTCCCTGCCCTGCATAACCCGGAGAGGGTGAGACCCCCAGCAGGGGCAGTAGGGAGAAGGCATATTTGGGCGGTCCCTGGTATAACGGGACAGAGGGAAGGCTCCACAATGAGGGAGGGCCCACAGGCAATAAGAACCACAGCGTCCACGCTGTGGCACACCCAGGTGTTCCTGGCCCAGTGCTGTGTGGTTCTCCCAACAGCGCCCAGGGCTGGGTGAGGCCCATAGTGTCCTCACTCCTATGACAGTTAGAAAAGCAGCTCAGGGGGCCGGCCCCGTGGCTGAGCGGTTAACTGTGCGCACTCCGCTGCTGGCGGCCCAGGTTCAGATCCTGGGCGCGCACCGACGCACCGCTTCTCCGGCCATGCTGAGGCCGCGTCCCACATACAGCAACTAGAAGGACGTGCAACTATGACATACAACTATGTGCTGGGGCTTTGGGGAAAAAAAAAGGAGGAAGATTGGCAATAGATGTTAGCTCAGAGCCAGTCTTCAGTCTGCCTCAGCAAAAAGAGGAGGATTAGCGTGGATGTTGCTCAGGGCTGATCTTCCTCAAAAATAAATAAATAAATAAATAAAAATAAAAATAAACATTTAGAAAAGCAGTTCAGGGAGGTGTCACTGCTTGCCTGGGCCTCATGGCTAACAGCCAGCCAGGCTCTGGACTCTGCCTGCTTTCCCCCTGGAAGCATCTCAACCCCATGAAGTGGGGCTGACACAGCCCCTGGGCCCTGAGGCCTTGCAATGGGAGAGTTGCTGTGGGCCCACAGGACGCCTCTGGCATTAGCATTAGGGGTCATTGTCACCCCAGGGCCTGCCCCTTTCTCTCTTCCAGCTGCCCCACCCACCATGGGCCCACCTCCCGGAAGGTGATGGCGAGGCCCAGAGTGGTCCAGGCTTCCCTTTGGCCCAGCTGCTGCCTCAGGGAGGTCCCTTCCCAGAAGCCCGCAGCGCACAGCCCTGGGGCTGCCATAGCCCTGGTAACGTCTCCCTGGAGGCTGGGTGGGCTGGCCCTGGGTGAGGAGGGGTGAGCACACAGCTGGCACTGGGGGTCAGAGCCTGGGCCAGGGTGTAGCCTCCCCCTCTTCAGGGGACCTTTCTGCCCCCCGAGGAGAACAGACTGTCCATGGAAGTCAACCTCTGTTCCCTTGGGGGCACCACCGGAAGAAGCAGCTGCTTTTGAGCACGTCCCTGTCCCCAGAGTGGCCTGAGCCACTAGTGTTCTTGACAAAGCAGAGGCCGAGGGGCATGGAAGGTGCCTTTCTCAGGTGTGCAGGGCTGAGGGCCTCCCTGCCTGTGCCGGAGCCCAGGCAGAAGGCCCTTCCACTTCTTCCTGTTGTGGGCTCAGACCCAGTCCTGTCACACCCACATGGCTGCATCCTCCTCCCATGCTGTGTGGCCACGCTAGCCCCACCCCTTGCAGCCGCCAATCCTGAGTGCCTGGAGTAGGATGGGGAAGCAGCTGGTTGGCCCACCCTGCACTCCCCACTCCACGTAGGACTCCAGAGCCCCCTGCGTAGGGAGCTTCAAAGGATGCTGGCCTCAACCCCGAGAAGAAGCCGTTTCCTCAGAGGGGCCAAGTAAGTGGAAAGCCCCCTCCCCACCTGTCCCAGGCCTCAGCCAGGGCCCCTGGTGTGAGGGCTGGGCCTGGACGTAACTGTGGGACAGACCCACCTGGGTTCGGGCTGTGGGGCAGAACTGAAACTCCTTGGTCACTGCTGGCCGCCTGTCAAGCGGAAGCAGGCTGCCGCTGAAGCTTCTGGCCATTCTGGTACAGTCTCCCTGTGAGGCTGGTCCACCAGCTGCTCTTTCTTCACCCCTGTTGTTGGGGATGTCGCCCTGGGTAGAGGGCACCCCTGGAAGGGATGGACCTGTTATTGCAGAGGTTGCCACTGCCTCCTAGCCCAGCCCTCCCCAGTGCCCTCTGCCTGAGCCTGGCTGTGTCTTCGCCCGCTTTCGGGGAGGGGTACCCTGTATCGGGGCGGACAGACAACTGTCCTCCAGGAGTTTCTCTCTGTTTGGCCCTGGGCCTTCTTTACACATCCTCGGTACCTGGTACTCCTCTCTTGACATCCTTTGTAGGGGAGCATGTGTGGGCCTAAGAGCCAGGCCTGCCTGCCCCACCTTCCTCCTCTGGCCCCTAGCTAGATGTTGGCCTGAGAGGTGAAGGGATGGACAGGTCAGAGGTTCCTGTGTGCCTTCCATCAGCAAAAGTTCACTGAGGCCCCGAGTGCCGGTCGCTGCGTGAGCTTGGGCTAGATCCCCTATCTGAGGTGGGGGTCCCCCTCCCCCGTCCTCTGTCCACAACGGAGGCCGGGTGCCCTGGAGCGGCTCTGAGGATGCTGTGGTGGGAACCGCTCCAGGTTGCCTGTCTGGCAGGAACCACTTCTGTTCTCTTTGGGATCCAGCATTGATGCCTAGCCCGGGACCTCAGGGGCGTGAAGGCAGACAGCAGAGACTGGTGGGCCCACAGAGGCTGGTGGTGGAGGCTGCGTGGGGGCTGTGGGGGCACCCAGCCAGGCCCCTGAGCAGGCCTCAAGGGCGTGGTAACCAGGCAGTGCTTGTACTCCTGGAGCCGGGGGAGTCAGCGCCGGATCTCCCAGGGCTGCAGAGATGAGCAGCCGTGAGTCGTGTCTGGGAGGGAGGGAGCGAGAGCAGCGTTCTCTCCCCTAGAGGAGGGCGGCTACTCCTGAGCCCCAGCCAGCCTGCCCCAGAGAGCCCTGCGGAGCCCTGCTTCCTGCAGCCTGGCAGCCTGGCAGCCGGGAGGGAGGACGAGACTCCTGTGGTGACACCCCTGTGACACAGCTCGTGTCTGGTTGGTGGAAGGGCTTGAAGTGAATCACTGACGCCCAGGCACAGGGCGTGGGGGCCTCCCCAAGGTCATGGTGCAGGGCCTGGGCCCTGACTCCTCTTTGCAGAGCCAGCTTCTGCTGCTGCGCACCTTCCTGCTGGGTTAAATCCCCCCTGGGGACCTCTCCCCATCCCTGGTGTCCTCCCGCCTGGCCTGGCCGTCTTCCCCCGTACCCGCTGTCTTCAGCACCCAGTCTTGGGGCCCGGAGGGGCAGGAAGGGCTGTGCGGGCAGCGGATGACATCACCGCCCAGCCAGCTGCGCTTCCGCTGCGCCTCTCACAACCTCCTCTCACATCCCAGGGCGACCTCTGAGCCTGCCCTCCCCACTCCCCACTCGCAATGCACATGGGCAGCTCATCAGACCCCCCTGCCTGGACGCCCTCGCACAGGGGGTTCTGAACCCAGGCCTGTTGTGCTCCGCCCCAGCCCCTGGCTGTGGTCCCCCACACTCCTCCCCTCAGCCTCCCAGACAATGGGGAACTGGCTGGATCCTCTTAAAGGGACAGTGTCCCACCAGCACTCATGCTGCTGTCGTCTCCCTCCTCCTGCTCCTCATTCCCTAGTTCCCCTAAATTCACGAGCAGTCAGCGAGTGCCTGCGTGCTAGAGCGTGCAGGCCAAGGTAGGGCGGAGGGTTCCCTGGCTGCCTGGGGGACGGGCTGTCTCACCCAGCTTCCAGTCTTCCCTGCCCCCCTCTCTCCTGGATTGTTTCCCTACTGAGCTCTGAGCCTAGGTCCTCCTGTCCCTGTGTGACCTTGACACATCACCCAGAGAGCCCAAACGGCAGCAGAGCTGGACGGGTTCTCTGCACAGTGTGTACCTGGCCCAAACATACACCCAGGATGCACCCAGGACCCTGGGTCAGGCTCTGCAGAACCCAGTGGGGCCTGTGCCCCTGCCGGGTCACTGGGGATCCTGCATTTCTGCTTTTGCTCATCCTAGCTTAGCTGGGCTGCTGGTCCCCACCCCACTCGGACGCTTGGGTGGAAAGAAGCCAGGCATGGAGGTCTAGCTCCTGGCCTGTGGGGTAGCACCTAGAAGCTGGTGCGTCATTTCTCCCCGTCTGCCCTTCAGGGGTCCCACCGGCCAGGCCTCCTTGGTACCGTGTGGTGATGGGGCCGGGGGATCCTGGTTTTGATGGCCCTGCACATCTGCGTATTCTGCATACAGCACGACTGCTTTTCTGGGGGAAGGTGTGGGGGCCAAGGCTGTGGTTAGGCTGCCCCTGAGCTCCTTCCTGTGACTGGCAGCACCTGCAGGGCTGGCTGGGGTCTAGGAAACCAGGAGCCCCCTGTCCTGACCGTTCCTGGCCTGTCTTGACTAAGCAGAGCTCCCGCCTTGTCCCTTAGAGGAGCAGGGAGTAGCTGTGTGGGGCCTGTGGCACCCACCCATGTGGCCTTGGACAGTTGAGAAGCTCTGAAGCTCATCTGCCTCATCTCTAGAATGAGGCTAGCCACGCCTGCCTCCTGGTGGCCTGTGGGGAGTGAGTCAGGTTAACCAGCAAAGTGGGCAGGGCTGGCACTCACAGGTCTTCAGAGCTCCTGCAGGTCTCCATCGACATCCGCTGCCAGATGTGGGCTGAGCCGCCCCCCCACCCTGGTGCCGGGCATTGGGGAGGGGCAGGGAGAGGAAGCCAGCTAGACTAGAAGAGAGGCACACAGTTTGTTGCAGCCTCATCACCTGAATCCTGGACTCCCAGGTTCCATTCTTCCCTCCACCTGCTGGTGACCAAGAGCAAGTCACCTGCCCTCTCTGGGCCATTGTCCTCGCGTGACGGGGACAGAGCTCAGATGAGGAGCACCTTTCACCCTGGGGTAGCCCGTGGGCCAGACACTCTGGAGGCAGAACTGCTGTGGGTGGTTGTGCAGGTTGTGCACTGCACAGAGGCTTCCAGCCGAGGGGCCAAGGTGGCCAAATCCATTCCTGGCTCCACTTGCTGAGCCCTGTGCCCCAGCACAGGCAGCTTCTGTCCGGGGGGACATCCTTTTCTAAGTCTCCCAAAGGCCACTGTAGACCATGGCAAGGCTGGGGTGGGGGCAGGGAGTGGCTGGACTGAGCGCCAGCACCTCCTGCCGCAGGTGTTGTGAGTGCAGTGCGTCGCTTTCGCACCAGTACTATGAGAAGGATGGGCAGCTCTTCTGCAAGAAGGATTACTGGGCCCGCTACGGCGAGTCTTGCCACGGGTGCTCGGAGCACATCACGAAGGGGCTGGTCATGGTAAGCGCCCTCCCCGCTCGCACACTTCGCCTGAGGGGAGGGTGTCTGTCTGTGTGTCCTCACAGGTCTCCCTGCCCCAGGTCTCTCTCCTAGCGTCTCTCTTGTTCATTTCACCAGTGCTCTGATGCCCCCAGGCCTTCTGAGCCCCTTAGCCTGTCTGTCCCTCAGCCCCCTGTCTATGGAGCCAGCTCTGCCCGGGAGCTCATCTGGCCAGCCAGGCCCCCGAAGTTTGTCTGGGGCTCCCCTTCTGAAAGGGGGCTGAGAGGAGGAGCTCGGGGCTGACCCCCTGCCAGGTGGCCTTGAGCTGGGTTGGCCCCCTACCCCTGCCAGGTGGCCGGGGAGCTGAAGTACCACCCCGAGTGCTTCGTGTGCCGCACGTGCGGGGCCTTCATCGGTGACGGGGACACCTACACGCTGGTGGAGCACTCCAAGCTGTACTGGTGAGTGCCGGGGCCCCTCGCCGAGCGCAGCGTGCCCACCCATATCACAGGTTTCTCCACCAGTGCCCTTTCCCTTCCCGGGTGGGGGCAGTCATTAAAAATGTCATAGATGTGGCTGTGTGGAAGTGACTGTGACACAGGAGTCACACTGAGAAAGCCCCAGACATCGGCTCGCTTACTGACGGTCACTGCGCTGCAGCTCCGCTGCCCTCACAAGTTTAGGGCCCGTCCCCAGCAAGACCGCCCTCACTTCAGACACCAACCACAAGGTCAGGGGTCCCCAGGCCACTCCCAGTCCTGACTGACTGGCTACAGAGTCAGGGATTCCCATGCCCCCTCAGGTTTGATAATTCACTTGACGACTCGCAGAACTCAGGAAAGCACTGGACTTAGGACTGCAGTATTTTTATAAAGAGAACAAATCAGGACCAGCCCAATGAAGAGACCCAAAGAGTGGGGGCTGGCCTGGTGGCATGGTGGTGAAGTTCACCTGCTCCGCTTCGGGGGCCCGGGGTTCAAAGGTTTGGATCCCAGGTGTGGACCAACGTACCACAAGTCAAGCCATGCTGTGGCAGCGTCCCATATAAAGTAGAGGAAGATGGGCACGGATGTTAGTCCAGGGCCAGTCTTCCTCAGCAAAAAAAGAGGAAGATTGGCATGGATGTTAGCTCAGGGCTGATCTTCCTCACAAAAAAAAAGGAGAGACCTAAAGAGCAAGGTCTAGGAGGGTCCCAAACACAGAGCTTCTATGCATTCTCCCCATGGGATCAGGACGTAGACCTGCCCCCTGCCAGTTTTTATTGGGGTTTTATTTTGTAGACATAATTGATTGAATCATTGGGTACGTGGTTGAACTCAGTCTCCAGGCCCCCTCCCCTCCTCGGAGGTTGGGCTAGGTCAGAGCCCCAACCCTCTCGTCACGTGGTTGGTCTTTCTGGTGATGAGCCCCGTCCTGAGGCATCTCCTTAGTGTAAACTCAGCTGTGGTCTGAGGGGCTCATGAGAAACAGACACTCCTGTTCAAGGGTTTAGAGCCTCTTCCCCAGGAACCAGGGACAAGACAAGTCAAACTCTTATACAATGCTGATAAAGCTGGATTTAAGGGCAGCATGGCTTGATCCCGGATGGCCTTGTAATGACCTCCTCCTGAACTGGGTCTATCCGCAGGCCTGGCCTGGCCGGCCTACAGCACGACTGAGTAAACAGGCCAGAGTGCCGGCCCCAGAGAGGGGCAGGCTCAGTGGGCGTGCTCAGTCCCTGCTTCCAGTCCCACCGGGTGGCTAGGACCCCTCTTCCCTGGGGAGGAGAGAGGGAATGGGGGGTAGGGGCCCAGGGGGTGTGGTGATGCTGGTGACTGTCCTGACACTCTTTTCTTCTCACACTTTGGGTCCCCACCACCTATGGCTCGTGCAGCGGGCACTGCTACTATCAGACCGTGGTGACCCCCGTCATCGAGCAGATCCTGCCTGACTCCCCCAGCTCCCACCTGCCCCACACCGTTACCCTCGTATCCATCCCAGCCTCAGCTCATGGCAAACGTGGCCTCTCGGTGTCCATCGACCCCCCGCACGGCCCACCGGGCTGCGGCACGGAGCACTCCCACACCGTCCGCGTCCACGGGTGAGTGGCTGACCTGCCGAGGCTGCAGCTGGTGTGGCTGTGGCTGTGGACACTCTAGGTGGGTGGCCAACTCTGGGGCTGGGGGCCCTGAGAACGGGTGAGCGTTTGGGCACAGATAGACCCTAGCTCTGACACTGTGGTATACCAGATTCCTGGTCCAATCCTTCCTTTAAAAACCATTACAAATGCTAGATAAAACATTTAAATTGTTTTCTTTAACCCATGGTTTATCCAACAAGAAATAGGAGTAACCAGGTCAGTAATAAGTGAAGGAGGGAGCCCGAGGTCTCAGCAGAACACTGAAGACAGCCACACCTTAAGGGCAGATCTAAATGGAGTGAACTGAAGCCTCGGCATTCAAGACCTTTAATGCCTGGGCCCCTCATAGCCCTGGCCTGCTCAAGGAAGCTCATTTCATAAGAGAACTGCTCCCTTCCCCGTTATGCTGGGACCCCAAGGCTCTCAGGGTGAGGATGACTGAGTAATAGACCACCCCTTCCATCAGCACCCCCCCCCCCCACCGCAGAACTGTAAGATAAACTGATTGGAACCTGAATGGAAGAGGGGAGGGGGAATCTCCTCTGAGAATGTGTAAACTTGGACTTGCAAACCAACTTCATCTGCCTGGGTGCTTCAGAAAACCTCAAGGAAAAATTGTAAAAGTTTAAAGTACTTTCCAACCAGTAGTGTTCCCAGGCCCTCACAGAGTAAGATGCAGATCCTTCCTGGAGAAGTCCACCTCCAGGCTTCGTTGAATTAACTTAGTTAAGTGTCCCCAGGAAGATGAACAGTTCAGTCAAAAATCAGTGAACAGGGCTGGCCCTGTGGCTTAGCGGTTAAGTGCACGCGCTCCACTGCTGGCGGCCCGGGTTCGGATCCCGGGAGTGCACCAACGCACTGCTTCTCCGGCCATGCTGAGGCCACATCCCACATACAGCAACTAGAAGGATGTGCAACTATGACATACAACTATCTACTGGGGCTTTGGGGGAAAAAAATAAATAAATAAAAAATTTAAAAAAAAAAAAATCAGTGAATAGAAGGAGGCAAGACTCAGCAGAAACAACAGGAAGTAGAACCAGACCTACAAAACATTCAGATAGTGGAATTATCAGAAACGGTGTAGAATTGTTATGCTCAATATGTTTTAATAAATAAGGGATGCTTGAAAAAATGAGTAAAGAGCAAATAGATTTGGAAAAGAACCAAATAGAACTCCTAGAAATGAAATATATAATTATTAAAATGAAAACCTCAATGCAAGGGTTTAACAGTAGAGTAGGATTTTAAACAGCTGGGGAGAGAAGCAGAGTCACAAAAAGATGTGAACTGTGAAAGAGAGGTTAAGACCCATGGAGGACAGAGTGAGAGGATCTAATCATCTATTTGGAATCCCAGGAGAAAAGAGAGAATGGGGGAAAGCTGATACTTGAAGATATAATGGCTGAGAACTTCCCAGAACTGGTAAAAAACACCAATCCACAAACTCAAGCCCAGTAAATCCCAAACAGCAAAATAAAAAGAAATCCACCCATGGATCACCCCATCTAGTGAAACTACTGCACCAAAGGCAGAAGAAAAGACCTTAAAGTGGCCATAGACAAAAGATAAATTACCTTCAAAAAAGGACAGGTAGGCTGTCAGCTGATTTCTCAACAAAAACAATGGAAGCGAGAAATCAGTGAAATGACATATTCAATGCATTGAGCAAAAAATAGCCATCAACCTAGAATTCGCAACATATACCTTGTTTTATTGTGCTTCACAAATAATGCATTTTTTACAGGACCCTCCACCAGCAAAAAGATTACGACTTGCTGTAGGCTTAGGTGATGTTTAGCATTCTTTAGCAATAAAGAACTAAAATTTTATTAATTAGGGTATGTACATTGTTTAGACATGATGCTATTGCACACTTAATAGACTACAGTATGGTGTAAACAGACTACAATATAGTGTAAACAACTTTTATATGCACTGGGAAACCAAAACCTTTGTGTGACTCACTTTGGCTCCATAATTTGCTTTATGGCAGTGGTCTGGAACTGAACCCGCAGTTATCTCCAAGGTGTGCCTGTACCTGATGAAAATATCCTTCAAGAGTGAGGGTAAAATAAAAACACGTTAAGGCAGACAAAGCTGAGATTTGATACTAGCAGATCAAATGTTCCCTAAAGAAAATTCAAAAGGAGGTAGAAAAGTTCTGAGATGCAAGAAAGGATGAAGATTAGGGAGTCACCCCGGTTGCTAACACTGTGTGATGCGGAGCGGCTCGCTCGTCCTCTACGGGCTTTGGGATCTTTGAACAATGAGGAAGTCGAATACTTTGGAGTCTTCTAAGATTTCTCCTGGGCCTTCATTGACTCCTTGAGAAATAGTCTTCAGTGTCCCCATGTCTGGGCGTGGGAGCCAAGTGCCGGCTTCCACTGAATTCAGTGAATGTTGCTCACACAGCTGCCGGGTACCAGGCACCATGCCTAGGCATTGGTGAGAAGTGAGGATGGTGCTGGGGCGGGATGCTGCTAGGCTTGACTCTGTGTCCCCACCCCCACTGTGAGCATCAGCCAGGCCGTCAGCTGCCTTCTGTACACAAGTGAGCAGGCAGACTGAGGAGAAATGGGGCGCCTCCAGACCAGCTGGGCCCTGAACACCAGGCAGAAGTTTAGAAATGGAAAGCCATTGACGCCTCGTCCCTATCTCCCTCACTGGATGAGCATTCTCTCCGGCCAACATCTGCTTTCCCAACAATTTCTGCGAAGAGCCACGCCCTTCTCAGAAGCAGCCCAGCTTGCCCAAAAGCTACTGACCAGATTGCTTGTTTTCAAGGAATCTTAGTTGACCACTTTTCATTTTAGTCATAGCAGCATTTTAAGAAAAGTTTAATTCACCTGCGCCCCTGCCTCCTGCCTTAGCAGGAGACTGAGGGAGGGGAGATGGGGAGTCTGAGGCATATATTTTTAAGGCTATATCCATGAGAAGCCTGTATCGCTGAACACACATTTGTTGTTTTTTCAACTTTTTATCTTGAAATTTCCAAATTTACAGAAAATTTGCTAAAATAATAAGTATATTGAATACCTATACATCCTTCACCTAGGTTCACCAGTTTTAAATTCTTGCCACATTTGGGGTGTGTGTATGTGTGTGTCTCCCTCTTTATATATGTATGCATATTCATATACATGTATAAACTGATTTATTTGTATATGTACATGCACACATTGTTATTATTTACTGAATCATTTGAGAGTAAGTTGCAGACATCATTGACTCTCCCCCCCCGCCCCAAAAATACGTCAGACATTCTCCTAAAAACAAGGGCATTCTCTTACATAATTATCAATTGTATCTTATAGTGCAGTTATGACATTTAGAAGATTTAACACTGATACGATACTTTTATCCGATATACGACCCAGTTTGAATTTTGCCCGTTGTCTCAATACTGTCCTTTATGGCAGTTTGCCTCTGACCCAGGGTCCAATCCTGAGCATACTCGTTATGTCTCTTCAGTCTCTTTTAACCTGTGATGCTTCGTTTTCCTTCGTGACCTTGACATTTATCAAGAGTACAGGCCAGTTGTTAAGTAGAATGTCCCTCCGTTTGGGTGTGACTGATGTGTCCTCTTTGTTAGGTTTAGGTTATGACCTGACGCTGCGTAAGTGATGCTGTGTCCTTCTCTGTGCATCTGACTGGTACACATACAGTGTCGATATAGTGTGCCCTTTATTGGGGTTGTCGACTTCGATTACTGGGTTAATGCAGTCCACTCTCTCTGCTGTAAAGGATGTTTTTCCCCCTTGTAATGTAGTCAATAAGTCATTTGTGAGATTTGAGTCTGTAAATGTCCTGTTCTCCAACAGCCTTTTCACCAGACAGTTCTCGAGTCCATGCATGAGTCTCACTGTGTCAGTTATTACTGTGATCGTTATAGAAGGGAGATTTTCCAACTCCGGTCTTCCTTCTGCATTTATTACTTGACCTTCTAGTATAAGGAAGAGCTTCTCCCCCATGTGAGAATATTCTTTTTTTTATATTGAAGTATAATTGACATACAATATCCTGTTAGTTTCAGGTGTACATCATAGTGATTCAATATTTGTATACATTACAAAGTGATCACCACAATAAGTCTAGTTACCATCTGTCGCCATACAAAGTTATTACAATATTATTGACTATGTTCCCTTTGCTGTACGTCACATCCCATGACTTATTTATTTTATAACCGGACGTTTGTACCTCTTAATCCCCTCACCTATTTTTCCTGCCCCCCCAATCCCTCCTCCCTCTGGTAGCCACCAGTTTGTTTCCTGTATCTATGAGTCTGTTTCTGTTTTGTTTCATTTGTTCATTTGTTTTTTAGATTCCACATATAAGTATTTGTCTTTCTCTGTCTGACTTATTTCATTTAGCAGAATACCCTCTAGGTCCATCCATGTTGTTGCAAATGGCAAGATTTCATTCTTTTTTATGGCTGAGTAATATTCCATTGTATATATACCATATTCTTATCCATTCATCTATCAATGGATGCTTAGGTTGTTTCTTTAACTTGGCTATTGTAAATAATGCTGCAGTGAACATAGGGGTGCAGATATCTCTTCAAATTAGTGTTTTCATTTTCTTCGGGTAAATACCTAGAAGTGGAATTGCTGGATGATATGGTAATTCTATTTTTAATTTTTTGAGGAACCTCCATACTGTCTTCCATAGTGCTGTACCAGTTTATAATCCCACCAACAGTGCACAAGGGTTCCCTTTTCTCCACATCATCGCCAACACTTGTTATTTCTTGTCTTTTTGGTAATAGCCATTCTAACAGGTGTGAGGTGATAGCTCATTGTGGTTTTGATTTGAATTTCCCTGATGATTAGTGATGTTGAGCACCTTTTTATGTACCTGTTGGCCAGTTGGGTGTCTCCTTTGGAAAAAGGTCTCTTCAAGTCCTCTGCTGTTTTTTAAATCAGGTTGTTTGTTTTTTTGATATTAAGTTGTGTATGCTCTTTATATATTTTGGATATCAACCCGTTATATATGATTTGCAAATATCTTCTCTCATTCAGTAGATTACCTTTTCATTTTGTTGATGGTAGAATATATTCTTGACAATGAAAATTTTTTAGGAATCTGGTTTTCTTAAAGCCGTCAATCTCATCCTTCAGCCCTTCCCCATCTCAGGGCAGAGACAAAGTGAACATTCCTTAAAAAGCTTTTGTGAAGAAAAGATGAAAACCAGATAACTAACACCAAAGAGTTAAAAAAAAGCAAGTATATTTGGCAAGTTGGCCCTCCTGTGGGTCAACGTATAGCATCATCCTCATCTCCACTCTGCACCCGTGGCTCAGGACAGGCTGCTAGCCCCTCCTGCCGACTCCGGAGAGGTGGGAGCCTTAGCCTCATCTTGCAGGGCAGGTTCAGGCGTCAGTCAGGAAGTCAGTGTATCTGGACGCGTTTAGGATCTGCCCCAAGCCTACCAGGCAGTTGGAAGATAGGTCTGCCCTCCATGGCAGAGACAGTGCTCTGTTGAACAGGAGCCCCTGAGCATCTAGTAGGGGGCAGCAAATACCTAGGGGTGTGCCACCTTTCTCCGATTTCATCCCCATGGCAGACATCAGTAGTTGATTACAGAATTCTTCCCACCAAATCAGAACTCAGGGTTCTGGACAGTTGCCACCTACTGATTACACGAGATAAGATCATGTGCCCTCTCATCCCTAGTCTGATCCCCTTGGCCTTGGTTTCCCATCAGGGCTCTAGGGGACAGGCGGGAAGGGATCTGACCACTGCTTTATGCCCACAGAGTGGACCCAGGCTGCATGAGCCCAGATGTGAAGAATTCCATCCACGTTGGAGACCGGATCCTGGAAATCAATGGCACGCCCATCCGGAACGTGCCCTTGGACGAGGTATGGGTCTGCCCCAAGGGTCTGGCGAGCAGGATTGGAGGTGGTGCCTTCCTGCCTGCCCCCTCCCCCACCCTCATCCCCACCGCTTCAAACTCACCTGTCCACACATCTGCTGTCCCCAGATTGATCTGCTGATCCAGGAAACCAGCCGCCTGCTCCAGCTGACTCTGGAGCACGACCCCCATGACACAGTGGGCCATGGGCTGGAGCCTGAGCCCAGCCCTCTGAGCTCCCCAGCTCACACTCCCATTGGGGAGGCGGGCAGCTCTGCCCGGCAGAAGCCCATCCTGTAAGTCAGCCCTCGCCTTGCTGTATCTCGGTACTTTCACTGGCTCTGGGCCTCGGCGGGGTGAGACCTGGTCCCCACCCTCCAGTCGCTCGCAGTCTGATGGGGAGTCAGCCCTGCAAGAAAGCAGGCCTGCAAGTGGTGCTGGGGGTTATGAACGAGGAAGGTAATGAGAAGTAGGGAACAGCTCCGTCAGTGGGGATACAGAGTGTGTCCAGGGTGGACCAGCACCCTGGCTTCCAGAGCAGCAGGCGAGTGGCTCAGGATGATAGAGCATCGTTTGGTTGGGGAAGGGTGGGGCCTGAGGCAGAAGCTAATGGGGGGGGCTTCGGATGTGATAGGGGTCTTTGGATTTTGTCCGCCTGTTGTGGGACCCCACTGAAGGGTGTGGCAGCAAAGTGATGTGTTTCACAGAGACCACTCTGGTCCCCTGTGTGGGAGGGTACCCCAGACCAGAGTTGGCTAGAGGGCTGTTGCAGTGGTCCAGGTGGGAGGTGCTGGGGATCCCTCTTGAAGGGATCGGGGGGGCACAAGGAAGAAAACCAGAGGCAGCCTGGTCCTCACTCCACTTACTGTGGGGCCTCTCAGGACTCCTGGTAAAGACTTCTGGGGGGATCCTTTCTGGGGTGACAGCCTTTACTCTAAGAAATAGCAATGTTGAAGGCATGGGTTTCCTCCTTGGCTGCGTTTGGAGCTCAGGCCACTCTGCAGGACCACCTGTATGGCAAGGGGATGGGCATCCTGGGCAGGTTGTCTGCCTCTGCACCCCAAGGCTTGGGACACGAATGCTGGGAGACAGAGCACCTGACCCAGGGTCACCAGCAGAGAAGGCCAAGAACAAACCTTCCTACCAAGGGCACCTGCAGGAGAGCAGGCCTCAAACAGGGGGTTCAGGCGGAACAGGGCGCTGGGTGCGGGCGTCAGGATAGGGCAGATGCCTGTGACTGCCCCAGGAGAGCTGCCTTATGCCCCCTTCTCCTGGAACGGGGTGATTGTACGTAGTCTGGCATAGATGGGAGCATGGCAGGCAGGAGGAGGGGGCAGGGCCTTGGCCAGGTGCCCCCCTGCCCCCAGTGGCACTGGCCCCGTGTCTGCCTCCCCAGGAGGAGCTACAGCATCGACAGGTCTCCAGGTGCCGGCTCGCTGGGCTCCCCGGCCTCCCAGCGCAAGGACCTGGGTCGCTCTGAATCTCTCCGCGTGGTCTGCCGGCCACACCGCATCTTCCGGCCGTCAGACCTCATCCATGGGGAGGTGTTAGGCAAGGGCTGCTTTGGCCAGGCCATCAAGGTACCGGGTGTACCCCAGCAGGGACGGGCCGTGAGTGGGGCAGGGGGGCAGTCTGGGTGTGACCATTGGTCCTCCTTCCTCCTCCCACCAGTGCCTCCAGGGACCCATAGTGGAAGGGACATCTGGCTTCCAGACTCCCTGGCCAGTGCTCTCCTCCACCGGGGTCTCCTTGAGCTAGTTAGGGAGAGGGCACCTACTACAGATAGACCCAGAGCTTTACATGGAGGAGGTTGTTGGAAGCTGGCTCCTCGGGGTGGTGGATGGGAGGGCAGGCCAGACTGACCCCGAAGGCTCCCTCCCCTGGGGCCCAATATTGAGGCTGATGCCAGCCCTCCATGGCCTCTGGGCTGCTGACCCCTTCCCACCCGCCCCTGGCAGAGATAGGAACCCTTCCCTGGCTCTGACGTCACCTGGCTGTGACCAGGCTGGACAGTTCAGGATTATACAAAAGGTACCAGCCAGACTGCCAATGTGTCCAGACAGGCCCTGGCCCACAGTCCCTGTCCCTGGTCCCCTTGCCAGGGGAGGAGTGTCTGATAGAGCCCGCCATTTGGCCTCCAGGAGACAGCCCAGCAGAGCAGAGGAGAGAGATGGCCTCTGGGTCAGGTGGTCCTGGACCCAAGCCCCAGCCACCCCTTTCCCTGCCAACTGGGTGACTTTGGGCCCTGTTAGGAACCTCCCTGAGTCTCCTCTGTAAAGGAATTAGGTCCCACCCTCCAGGGGGCCGGGAGCACCACATGGCATGTCTGTGAGGCGCTGGAGGCCCTCTGCTCGTCACCCTGGCAGTCCTGGGTGGGGATGGGGCCTCCGACAAGGCAGGCTTAGAGCAGAGGCTCTGTCGGTGCTGAGTCTCGTGCCCCGCTGTCCCCACACAGGTGACACACCGGGAGACGGGTGAGGTGATGGTGATGAAGGAGCTGATCCGGTTTGACGAGGAGACCCAGAGGACCTTCCTCAAGGAGGTCAGTGAGCGGGTCGGACTGTGGGACGTGCCGTGGTCCCACCCCTTCCCTGATTGAGCGGGGGTGGCAGAGGGCTCTGGAGGGTGTGACGCTCAAGCCACACATTGAAGGAAGAGAAAGTATCTTCCAGGAGGGTGAGAGGGGCAAGGGCATCCTTCAGGGTGGGAGCAGCCCAAGCAAAGAGCACAGCGGCCTGCGGGTGTGGAAGGGCCCACAGGGGCACGGAGGCACCTTCATCTCGGGGACAGCAAGGGAGGAGGAGACGTGGGCACAGCCCCAGGCCCAGCCTGTTTGCACCCTGCCAGGTCAAGGTCATGCGATGCCTGGAGCACCCCAACGTGCTCAAGTTCATTGGGGTGCTCTACAAGGACAAGAGGCTCAACTTCATCACCGAGTACATCAAGGGGGGCACCCTCCGGGGCATCATCAAGAGCATGGTGAGTGCCCGGGCCGAGCCCGCTGTCTGCCCCGTCCCAGCCACTCCCCTGTGGGGTCCTGGGCAACCAGCTCCTCTCTGGGCCCCAGTCTCCCGAGCTCTTCAGTGGGAATCGGCCTCTGGTCTCCAGGGTCCTCCAAACTCTGACTCTGAATCGAATAGGGAGCTACCCACTCAAGCTGGGGCCCAGAGAAGGGTGGCACCTTTGCCGAGGGGAGACACAGACCGTCAGCTGTCCTGCCGGGTGCCAGTCCTGCCTCAGAGCAGCCCGACCCGGCCGTACCTGCCATAGATCGGAACACCTGAGGAGGGGCACGTTCCGTTTCCTCTCTGCGGTGGGCCTTGGTTTTGCTTTTGGCAAAACCAAATCCTTTTTACTATTTACCACATTCCAGAAAATTCAGAACTTTCTTTAAGGGCTTGGATAAAATCACACACCCGTCTTTAGAGTGAAGTGCTTGCAGGGGAGCCTTCCAGCACTCTGGCGCTGCTGACAGTGCCCGGGGCCCCAGGGCTTGCCCCACCCCAGTGCCCCTGAGACTGCAGGACCCTGCTCCCTCCCATGCAGATTCCTCACTCCCTGGGCTGGACTGCCTGGCACTGCCAGAGGCCGTCCCTGCAGGCTCCTGACAGGTGTCACTTCTTGGGAGGGGTGCTGAGGTCATCCACAGCCTGGAAATGCTGGGCTGCGCCCACGTGGACTCCCTCGCTGCACTTGGAATCTTTAATGCACTCACATCCTCACCCTCCCACCTGAGGTCTCCAAGGGGCCGGGGCCACAGACAGGCATTTCCCCACGTGGTCGAGCCCAGAGCCCTGCTCTCCCAAGTGACTAGCGGCTGGTGCTCTGCGGGCAGCCTCACCGGGCCTTGCTGTCTTGGCCTGGCTGTGAGCGTAGCTTCAGATTGTTTAAAAACTTCAAAGAGGGCTGGCCCCGTGGCTTAGCAGTTAAGTGCACACGCTCCGCTACTGGCGGCCTGGGTTCAGATCCCGGGCGCGCACCGACGCACCGCTTCTCTGGCCATGCTGAGGCCGAGTCCCACATACAGCAACTAGAAGGATATGCAACTATGACGTACAACTATCTACTGGGGCTTTGGGGAAAAAATAAAAAGGAGGAGCATTGGCAATAGATGTTAGCTCAGAGCCGGTCTTCCTCTTCAAAAAAAAAGAGGAGGATTAGCATGGATGTTAGCTCAGGGCTGATCTTCCTCACAAAAAAAAAGAAAATAACTTCAAAGAATAGGATATTGTAGAAAATAAGTAGAGCTTTTTTTCTCAGAGAAGGCGGATCAGGAACTATAGAGGAGTATACCCCCTCTTACTGTGGGAAATCAGTTCTGTTAGAAAATTGTTCTGAATTATTCACCCCCATCCCTTAGAAGGGTGAGTGCGGAGGAGAGTGGGGGTCATCGCACCCTCTAGGACGCTTGCCCCCTCCTGCCTCTCTCACCCAACTGTCCTGCCACTGTGGCCCCTGTGGCCCCTCGTGGCCATCTCTCTCCACCCCCAGGACAGCCAGTACCCGTGGAGTCAGAGGGTGAGCTTTGCCAAGGATATTGCCTCAGGGATGGTGAGTATGCTCTGCTTCTCACTTCCCGGGAGCGTGGGCTGGGTATAAAAAAAATCCGACCCCACGTATAAAACATGGTCTGCCGCTAACCTGAAATTCCACGAGGGGTTTAGAAATGAAGCCACAAGGAAGCTTCGAGAGAGGGCGGAGGGGATTGAATGGACAGCAGGAGGAGCACCCCGACGGCCTGGTGGGGGCGGGCAGGGAGGTGGGAGCCTCTGGGTCCCTCCGCGCAGCTGCCTCTTGACTCCGTGCCCCCCCAGGCCTACCTCCACTCCATGAACATCATCCACCGGGACCTCAACTCACACAACTGCCTGGTCCGCGAGGTGAGCAGCCCGGGCCCGGGCAGCAGGAGCCCTGCTGGCCGCACTCCCAGTCTTGGGGCCTTCCCTGAACAGGGGTCCCTGGCTTGCCTCCCGCTCCAGTTTGGCCTGTGGGAAAGCAGCGCCAGGCCAGGAAGCAGGCAGACCTGGCTCTGCCATTTACTGGCGGGATAGCTCCGCCCCCGGCACGGACATGCCAGGCTGTAGGAGGGCATGATACATCAGTGAAGGAGAAAGGATTGTGTAAACGGTAAAGGGTGGTGAGCGTGGCGTTCACTGAGAACAGCCCACAGCAGAGTGGCCAGGCCTGTAGCAGGCGGCCCCAACAGCTACGGGTCTGGAGGAGGGCCTGGACGTGTGGGCCGGGGTGGTCAGGGCAGGCTACCTGAAAGAGGCTTTGGGGGGACATACTTAAGTGGGGGGCAGGGAGCCCAGGGTCTAAGGGGTGGTGATTTAGGGGACCACAGGCAGTCCACAGAAGGCAGGAGGGAGTGACTGACCATACCTAGCTAGAGAGGCAGCATACTGGTTTCCTGGGGCTGCCATAACAAAGTACCACAAACTGGATGGCTTGAGACACAGAAATGTATTTCCAGAGTTCAGGAAGCCAGAAGTCCGAAATCCAGATGCTGGCAGGGTTGGTTCCTTCTAGAGGCTCTGAGGGAGACTACGCTTCTCTCCTAGCCTCTGGTGGCTGCTGGCACTCCTTGGCGTTCCTTGGCACATCACTCCAGTCTCTGCTCTGTCTTCACGTGAACTCCTTCCCCCTGTGTGTCTGTGTCCTCTCCTTTTTTGTGTGTGAGGAGGACTAGCCCTGAGCTAACATCCATGCCAATCCTCCTCTTTTAGCTGAGGAAGACTGGCCCTGAGCTAACATCCGTGCCCATCTTCCTCTACTTTATATGTGACGCCACCACAGTGTGGCCTGACAAGCGGTGTGTTGGTGTGCGCCCGGGATCCAAACCTGCTGACCCCTGGCCGCCAAAGCAGAGCGCACGAACCCAACCGCTACGCCACGGGGCTGGCCCCTGTGTCCTCTTCTTACAAGGACACTGGTCGTTGGATTTAGGGCCCAGCCTCACCCAGTATAACCCCATCTTAACTAATTACATCTGCAAAGACCCTATTTCCAAATAAGGGTATTTCCAGATAACCAGTTAGGTTCTGGGCGGACATGAATTTTGGAGGGAACACTATTCATCACACTACAGGCAGGTTGAGATCCAGTCCTGGAGGAGGAGATTCCCCAGGCAGGTGTTTGCCAAGTGAATTGAGTACAGGAAGAGTGTTTCTGGTGGCGGGAACAGCACGTGCAAAGACCCAAATGTATGACCTTCAGGAAGCGATGAGTTGCTCACGTGGAGGGTCTCATGTGAGGGTCTCAGCCCTCTGGGAATGTCCAGGAGGCTCTTGGGAGCAGTGAGCAGTGATCACAGAGGTGGGCCAGGCTGGATCCACGGGCTTTTGGGGAGCCGGCTCGGACTGCCCCTGCTGGCTGTGGGCGTCACTGCAGGGCCCGGCCAGTGTGGTGGGCAGGGTGAGGAGAGGGTGGCCTGTGGCAGCCTGGATCCCACAGCAGGGGCCATCCCTTGAGAATCTGATGAGCATCGTGAGCCCTCCTGTCCCCAGGGTACATCTGTGCACAACCCAAACCTTTGCCTACCATTGGGGGCCTCTAAGAATCCAGTGGTCGCCCTGGCTGCTTCCCTGGAGCTCTCTCCCGTAGCAGCATCTTTGGACCCCCATACCATTAGCGGGGCTCATCAAAAGAGCAAAGTCCTGAGCCTACCTCAGGTCTTCTGAAAGGGCTGGGGCAGGAGTCAGCATTTGAATAGTCCTGGTGGACCCTGGTCTTCAAGAACCATTCCTCGGGCGTCTGAGGATCCTGGGTCACGACTGCCCTCCGCCCCAACCAACCTGCCACCTGGTGTTACACCTGAGGAAGTGGAGCCCTGAGAGGGGCTGTGTCACCTGCAGTCCCATCAGGGTGGTCTAGGGATGCTCGTTCGACCCCTCCCCTGCCCCCATATCTACTGTCTTTGTAGAGTTTTCTGTAGGTAACTATCCGTGTTTCTGTCACTCCCAGAGGCAGCTCAGGGTCCTTCCCTGCAGAACGAGCCTGGTCCTAACCCCCACCTGGCAGGGCCCTGCTGCCTCGGCCTCTCTGTGCCCGCTCCTCAGTGTCCACGCAACAGCAGCCAGTCCTGGGGCTGGCAAGTAGGGTCCAGATTTCCAGGGCCCTGACACCAAGCCTACGAGGCCCAGGCGCGGAGGACCTCCACAGCCCCCTGACTGGGCAGTGATGCCCCAAGGCTCCCCACCTGTCCCTCTTCTCTCAAGAGGACCCTCCCTGATTTTCCCATCTTGCGGGGCAGACACAGCAGTCGGCATCTCCACTCTGTAGGGTTCCTGGCCGGGCCCTGGGAGGGGCTGCTACAAACCTAAAACAGTAGAGCCAATCTGCTGGGTGGCCTTGGGCGACTTTCTTAACCCCTCTGGGCCTGAGTCACCTCACCTGTAAAGGGGGGATAAAAATAGCATGTACGTCACCAGGTTGTTGTAGGATTAAGAGAGAAAAGCTGTCACGTGCCAAGCACAGGGCCTGGGTCTCTGATTAGAATTCCTGCCCTCTTACCACAGCAAGCAGCACCAGGGCCCTGCTGGGCACACTGAGTGCTCCAAGGTGTGTTCTCTGGGCTGCTGTGGGTTGCTGTGGGGTCCAGGCTAGGAGTAGGTGGTGCCAGGAGCGTGTCTCAGTGTCACCTGCTTCGCTGTCACCCAGAACAAGAATGTAGTGGTGGCCGACTTCGGGCTGGCACGGCTTATGGTGGACGAGAAGCCACAGCCGGAGGACCTGCGAAGCCTCAAGAAGCCAGACCGCAGGAAGCGCTACACGGTGGTGGGCAACCCGTACTGGATGGCGCCCGAGATGATCACCGGTGAGTGGGCGACCCCGCTCGCCGTGTGCCCCAGGCCTGGGGTCCAGCAGAGCTGCAGCCACCTGAGCCCGGCCTCCCCCAGCCTCCTCGGCCCCTCAGCTTCCTCTTTGGGTCCTGTAATTAGTCTCCCACAGCTGCTGTGACATAACCATACACTTGGCTTAAAAAGAAATTACCGTAGAGTTCTGGAGGTCAGGAGTCCAAGGTCAGTCTCTCTGGGCTAAAGTCGGTGTCAGCAGGGCTGGCTCCTTCCGGAGGCTCCAGGGGAGAGTGTTTCCTTGCCTTCTCAGCTTCTAGAGGCTTCTCATTCCTCGGCTCATGGCCCTTTCCTCCATCAAGGCGAGCAGCGTAGCGTCTTCCCTCTGACATCTGTGTCCTTCGTCACAGCTCCTTGCCTGATCCTCCTCCCTCCCTCATAAGGACTCGTGATTACGTGGGGCTCACCTGAAAGTCCAAGACCATCTCTCCACCTCAGGAGCCTTCGCTCAGTCACACCTGCAGAGTCCCGGGGAGGGCCCAGGGATTAGGACGTGGACCTCTTGAGGCCATTGTTCAGCCCAGCACAGGTCTTTTCTCTCCCGCACCAATTTTTTTTTTTTTTTATCAGGCCTGTCACACAGTGGTTCGTGTGTGCCCGGGGGTCGGTTATAAAGCCCCCCACAGGCAGGTGATGTGCAAACACAGGGTCAGGGCAGGCAGACCCTGGGGCATCTCAGTGCTGGCTCTGACCACCAAAGTTAGCATAGCCCCCCACCACAACTTCACCTGTAATGTGGGATTAACAGTCCCTACCTTTAAGGGGTGGTGTGAGAATTAGATGAGATTTGTAAATTCATCAGCGTCCAGTAAATGAGAGTGGCTGTACGATTGTTGCTGACATCGTGGGTGGTTGGTGTTATTCCCACTTTACAGATGAGGAAACTGAGGCTCAGAGAGTCTAGCTCAGCTCCCAAGGCTGCTGTAACAATTTACCACAAACTAGGTGGCTTAAAACAACAGAAATTTATTCTCTCGTAGTTCTGGAAGCCAGAATTCCTAAAATCCAGTAGAGCTGTGCTCCCTCCAGGGACTTTAGGGGACAATCCATTCCTTGCTGCTTCTGGCTTCCAGTGGCTGTCTCAACACTCCCAGGCTTGTGGCCACATCGTTCCAATCTCTTCACATTGCCATCTCCTCCTCTCTGTGTTGTCTTCTCTTCTGTCTCTCTGTGTGTGTGAGGAAGATGAGCCCTGAGCTAACATCCGATGCCAATCCTCCTCTTTTTGCTGAGGAAGATTGGCCCTGGGCTAACATCTGTGCCCATCTTCCTCCACTTTATATGGGATGCCACCATGGCATGGCTTGACAAGCGGTGTGTCCGTGCGTGCCTGGGATCCGAACCTGCGAATCCCAGGCTACCAAAGCAGAGCGCGCGCACTTAACCGCTACGCCACCAGGCCGGCCCCTGTTCTGTCTCTCTTATAAGGACACTTGTGTTAGGGCCTGCCTGGATAATCCAGGATTTTCTCATCTCAAGATCCTTAACTTAGGGCCAGCCCCGTGGCTTAGCAGTTAAGTGCGCGCGCTCCCCTGCTGGCGGCCCGGGTTCGGATTCCGGGCGTGCACCGACGCACCACTTCTCCGGCCGTGCTGAGGCCGCGTCCCACACACAGCAACTAGAAGGGTGTGTAGCTATGACATACAACTATCTACTAGGGCTTTGGGGGGAAATAAATAAAAATAAAAAAATCTTTTAAAAAAAAAAAAGATCCTTAATCACATCTTCAAAGACCCTATTTTATTTATTTATTTTTTCTAGTGAGGAAGATTAGCCCTGAGCTAACGTCCATGCCAATCCTCCTCTTTTTGCTGAGGAAGACTGGTCCTGGGCTAACATCCGTGCTGATCTTCCTCCACTTTATATGGGACGCCGCCACAGCGTGGCCTGACAAGCGGTGCGTCGGTGCGCGCCTGGGATCCGAACCCGGGCCGCCAGCAGCGGAGCGCACACACTTAACTGCTATGCCATGAGGCTGGCCCCTGCAAAGACCTTGTTTTAAGATAAAGTAACATTCACAGGTTCCAGGGTTTGACATGGTTATCATTCAGGGCCACCACGGAGTCCATGACGTGCCCAGAGTCACACAGCTGGCCAGTGACCGAGCTGGGCCTGGAGCCCCTTGCCCGGGGCTCTTCTCCTTACCCCAGGGCTCCCAAAGGATTTCCCTGGTGGGGTCAGGGGCAGAGCCTAAACCAGGAGGTTGCTGGCATCTGCCTTCTGGTCCCGACCTGCTGACCAGGGCACCCATCCAGCTGCCCGTCCCTGGACTGGCACCCTCGCTGGCTGGCATCCCTGGCCCTGCCTCACCTGCTGATGATCAGTCTCTTTGTGCAGGCCGCAGCTACGATGAGAAGGTGGACGTGTTTTCCTTTGGGATCGTCCTGTGTGAGGTAGGTCCAGGGGTGGGCAGCAGTCAGCCTCAGGCCCGGTGGCTCCTTTCCACTCCCCACACTCGTAGGCTGCAGGCTTGAAGTCTGCTGGGGCCCCAGGCCAAGAAGGCTCCTGGGAACGGGGCTGCCCACAGCAACCTGCATCCTTGGGGGGTGTGGTGGGCAGGCTGGCACCAGGCCCGGTGTGACCTGCCCTCAGACCCCCCTGGGTGGCACCCAGCCCCAGGGGCCCCTGAGTAACAGCTGGGCCTCGTGCTGGACAGATCATTGGGCGGGTGAGTGCCGACCCTGACTATCTGCCCCGCACCATGGACTTCGGCCTCAATGTCCGAGGCTTCCTGGACCGCTACTGCCCCCCGAACTGCCCCCCGAGCTTCTTCCCCATTACCGTGTGCTGCTGCGATCTGGACCCTGAGAAGAGGTGAGTCAGAGGGGCTCAGCCGGGGGGTGGGGCCAGTCCCCAGCAGAGCCAGGACCCACCGTCCCACTGCCTGTCGCCCTAGGCCCTCCTTCGTGAAGCTGGAGCAGTGGCTGGAGACCCTCCGCATGCACGTGGCCGGCCACCTGCCACTCGGCCCACATCTGGAGCAGCTGGACAGGGGCTTCTGGGAGGCCTACCGGCGTGGCGAGAGTGGACTGCCTGCCCACCCTGAAGTCCCTGACTGAGCTCGGCCTGCCCGGCTGCCCCCGTCCCCACCTCCGGAGAATCCACCCCGCGCCAGATTCTTCTGCAGGAGGTGGCCGAGTGTGGAGCCCTCAGCAGGGCAGCAGGCACCCAGACCCCTCCCCAGTGCCAGGCCCTGACTTGCCTTCTTCTACCCTGAGGGCTGTGGCCCCTGCCCTGTCTCTGTCCCCGGCTCCAGAGCTGGCCTGGCTGCACACACATCATCACCTCGCCCTGCCTTACCTCTGTCTTGGGGGGCCACCCCATCCCGCTTCTTGCATGAGCTGGCGGGCCCGTGTGCGTTGGCCCCGTCCCGCGCCTGCCGCCCCGGCCGTCCTGCACACGCTCCACCTGTCTGCAGCTCCTCCCAGGCTAGGCTAGAGAACGGCTCAGCCCGTGCCCTGTCACAGCTGGGTACGTAGGAGGGCGTGTCTCAGGGGAGAGGCCATGCTCCCATCAGCTAAGCGGGAAGTCTGGGGCCCATCACCCCTGGGGGGTCTAGGTAGCAGCAGATATTGATAGCTATCCAAACCCCCAAAGCAGACGGAGGGCTGCTCCTGCGGGGGGTGTCCACGTTGGTAGGCAGCAGCCCTCTTCCTTTGGGTCTTTTCGTTTCTTTGTTGAAGCCACTTTAGTGAGAAGCAGGTCCCAGGCCTCGGGAGGAGGGAGGGCCCCTGGGCCAGAGCTGCTGGGAGGAGCAGCAGAGGGAGGTTGGGCAGAGTGGACAAGGCAAGTGTTCACCGGCACCCCAGCCCCCGACGTTCATCTCGGGGCCCCTCCTGAAGCCTTCCCCCGCAGCCCCTGCCCACGCCTCCCCACGCCCCTCTGTCCTCTGGGTTCTTTCTGTGTAATCTATTTTTTAAGAAGAGTTTGTATTATTTTTTCATACGGCTGCAGCAGCAGCTGCCGGGGGCTGGGGTTTTATTTTTTGGCGGGCGGCGGTGGGGGGCCATGTTGTCACTTTGCTTCAGTTGAGCGTCTAGGAAGTAGCAAAACTGTGAAGCCTTCTCAGTGCACTTTGAACCTGGAAAACAATCTAAATAGGCCCGTGGGACTACGACTCAGAGAGGTGGGACACTAACCTCCGTCCGGGAATCGTGGTGTCTGAGGAACAAACCCAGACTCAGAACAATAAAATCAATTCCGTGCTCCCCCCAGAGCCCGCGTGGCAGCATGTGTCTGAGGGCCCCAAGGAAATAGGACGAGAGAGGAGCTCTGTGATTAGAAGCCTGGTGGGAAGACAGGAATGGAAGGGCGGGTGAGGGTGGGCGGAGGATGCAGAGGGCAGGGGCAGAGGTGGCAGCCCCGGAAGGCCGAGTGACGACTTCCCCAAAGCTGGGTTTGGGGCTGGGAGGAGCAGGAGATCCTGGGGAATGTATTGCTTTCATTTCACGTTTTCTTCTTTCTGAGATTTAAAAGGTTCAGGCAGGACAACAAACCACACTAGTTATTTCAGACAGGGCATTTACTCCAGGGAGTTGCTTACACAGGTGTTGAGAGACCATGGATGAGCAAGAAGTGGACACTGAGGCAACCCAGAGATGATGAACTGCAGGAAGCGGCTACTACCCCTGGCTGGGCATTGAGGGAAAGAGGAGGTGACTTTAGTTATCTGGTGTTGTGTATCAAATCACCTCATGAACTTGGGGGCTTGAAATAACAGTGACGCTCATGGCACTATGGTCAGAAGACCACTCGTTCTTCTCTGTCAAGAATTTGGGAGCAGCGTGCCTAGGTGGTTTTGGTCTGGGGTCTTGTCTGAGGCTGCAGTCAGATATTGCCCGGGGCTGCAGTCCTTTGAGTGGTGCCAGAGACCAGAGGTCGTCCACTTCCAAGGACCCTTGTGCGTGGCTCACTCACGTGGCTGCAAGTTGGTGCTGGCTGTTGATGAGGGGCCTCTCCACGGGGCTCCTTGAGTGTCCTCGCAGCGTCCTCTAGGGCGAGCGTCCCACGAGAGCAAAGCAGAAGCTCCACTGCCTTTTGTGACCTAGTTTCGGAAGTCACACATCATCACTTCCACCACGTTCCACGGGTCGCACTGGCCAACCCTGATTCCCTGTGGGAGGGGACTGCACAAGGCCACAATTCCCAGGGCCGAGAGGGGTCACTGGGGCTCATCTTGGAAGCTGACAGGAATTGGAGGGAGGAGCCCCGTGCTTGGGTTATTGACATGTGTTGGGGGAAGGACTGGATTCTAAGCAGTTGGTGCTGGAACTTCTAAGGTAGGTGCAAACGTGGCCAGTGCTGGAGCTAAATGCTACTGCTGACTACTAGGGAGTCCCCTCCCTCCCTTCATTGTCCGTCTCCCTCAGCTGGCCCCTGTTAACCTTAACAGGCAAAGAAGTCTGGGAAATGTAGTTTTCAGCAGTCCAGCAACAGCATCACAGAACAAAAGATGGAGTGGGCTTGGGGCTGAGATGCAATAAGCAACAGCACAGTCCCCCCTTTGGCTACTCGTCACCCCTACACACCTTTCTACCATGCAACTAACAACTTCATGCTTCCACCTAACAAAGGGCAAGTATCCTTTGTACACAGATGCGTCATTCTCTCCCTAAAAGCGGGGACGGCGAAGTTCCGGGAGTCATATCCTTCACTCAGTGTTAACTCAGTCGGGATTCCACTTGAATATTCTGTAACTTAAAGTCTCAAATAGTAAAGGTCATCATCATCGTCAACACTTTTACATAATATAAGGCAAGTAGAGGGAAAGATAAATTAGTGGATAGGCACGTAAGCAAAGAAGAAAATATGCAGAGTCGTTACAGTCCTCTTCCCTACAACTGATTATGATGTCTTAATTGATTTTTAACACTTTATAATGAGATATAATTCACATGCAAGTCACCTACTTAAAAGGTAAAATACAATAGTTTCAAATGTATTCACAGTTGTGCAACCATCTCTGCAATTTAGTTGTAGAATATTGTCCTCACCCTGATAAGGCATCCCCATGCCCATTAGCAGTCACTCCCTATTTCTCCCAGCCCCCAGCCAGAGGCAACCACTAACCTACGTCGTCTCTATAGATCTAGATGTGTTTGGGCCATCCGATATGCAGTCTTCTGAGATTGGCATCTTTCAATTAACATATTTTTGAGGTTCGTCCATGTCGTAGTGTGTATCAGTACTTCATTACTTTTTGTGTAGAATAATATTACACTATATGGATATACCCCTGTTATCCGTTCATCAGTTGAGACGTGATCAGTTTCCACTTTTTAGCTACTATGAATAATGCTACTATGAATATTGGGGTACAAGGTTTTGTGTAAATGTATGTTTTCATTTCACTTGGTTATATACCTGTGAGCAACAACTCGGTGCTTAACATTTTGAGGAACTTCCAAATACTTTTCCACATCAGCAGCAGCATTTACATTCCTACTGGTGATGTATGAGGATTTCAGTTCACGTCCTCACTAACACTTATTATTGTCTGTGATTTTTATTATAGCCATCCTTGTGGGTGTGGAGTGGTATCTCATGGTGGTTTTGATTTGTGTTTCCCTAATGACTAATGATGTTGAGCACCTTCTCACGTGTTTATTGGCCATTTGTGTATCTTCTTTGGAGAAATGTCCAAGTCTTTTGTCCATGTTTTAATTGGGTTATTTATCTTTTTGTTATTGAGTTGTAAGAGTTCTTTAAATATTCTGGATACAAGTCCCTTACCATATATATGATTTGCAAATATTTTCTTCCATTCTGTGGGTCGTCTTCTCACTTTCTTGATAGTGGTCTTTGATGCACAAAAGTTCTAAAGTTTGATGACATGGACTGATTACTTAAAAGACAAACAACCAAAAGTCACCAAAGAATAGAAAATGTGACTAATCATTTATTTACTCAATGAATGGAATTTGTAGCTTAAAACCCTCAGAAAAAGAAAACTTGTGGCCCAGACGGTGTCACTGGCAAAATTAAAGAAGGAAAAACACCAGTTCTACACAACCTTTTCCAGAAAATAGAAAAGAACACTTCTGAACTCATTTTATGAAGTCAGAATTACCCTCTTACCAAAATCAGAATCAATACAAGAAGAGAAAAATTACACTCTAATATCATTCAAGAATAAGAGCAAAAATCTTGATCTAAGTATTAACAAATAGAATCTAGCAATATCTAAAGAGGATAATGTACTGTGACCAAGTAGGGTTTATCCCAGGAATGTAATAGTGCTTCAATATTTTAAAAATCAGTCCATGGAAAACCATAGTAAGATACCACTTCACACTCACAAGGATGGCCATAATTTTAAAAAAGAAAGAAAGTGTTAGCAAGAATGTGGAGAAATTGGAGACCTTGTTCTCTGCTAACTAGAATATAAAATGGTGCAGCCACTGTGCAGAACAGTTTTGTATTTCCTGAAAATGTTAAACATTGAGTTACCATATGATCCAGCAATTCTACTCTCAGATATATACATAGAAGAAATGAAAACATATGTACACACAGAAACTGGTACATGAATGCTCATAGCAGCACTATTCATAATAGCCAAAAAGTTGGAAACAACCCAAATATCCATCAACTGCTGAATGAATAAACAAAATCTGGTATGTATCCATACAATGGAATATGATTCAGCCATAAAAAGGAATGAAGTACTGATACACGCTACAACATGGATGAACCTTGAAAACATTATGCCAAGTGAAAGAAGCCAGACATAAAAGGTCACAGTTGATGGTTCTATGTGTATGAAATGTCCAGAATAGGCAAATCTATAGAGACAGAAAGTGGATTAGTGAGGGGAAGGGAGGATGGGAGTGACTGCTAATGGGTATGGAGTTTATTTTTGGGGCAAAGAAAATGTCCTGGAATTAGATAGTGGTGATGGTTGCACAACTCTGCAAACACACTAAAAACCACTGAATTGCACACTTTAAAACAGTGAATTTTAGGGTATAAAGTTCTTAAAATCAGTCAATGTAATCCATCATATTACCAGATCATATCAAATGATGCTGAAAGCATCTGACAAAAATTCAGCATCCATTCCTGGTTTTAATAAAAACAGCGGGAAGGGGCCGGCGCCATGGCTTGGCAGTTGAGTGCGTGCGCTCCACTGCTGGCGGCCCCGGTTTGGATCCCAGGCGCTCACTGGCGTGCTGCTTGTCCGGCCATGCTGAGGCCGCGTCCCACATACAGCAACTAGAAGGATGTGCAACTATGACATACAGCTATCTACTGGGGCTTAGGGGAGAAAAAGGGAAAAAAAGGAGGAGGATTGGCAATGGATGTTGGCTCAGGGCAGGTCTTCCTCACAAAAAAACAAAAACAAAAACAAAAAACAGCAGGGCCGGCCCGGTGGCATAGTGGTTAAGTGCGCAAATTCCGCCTCGGCGGCCCCGGGTTTGCAGGTTCGGATCCCAGACGCGCACCGACACACCGCTTATCAAGCCATGCTGTGGCGGTGTCCCGTATAAAATAGAGGAAGATGGGCACGGATGTTAGCTCAGGGCCAGTCTTCCTCAGCAAAAAGAGGAGGATTGTCGTCGGATGTTAGCTCAGGGCTGATCTTCCTCACACACGCACAAAAAAAACCTCAGCAAACTGAAAACAGAAGGTGACTTCCTTAAACTGATTAAAGGCAGCTACGAAAATCCCACTGCTAACGTTATACTTAATGGTGAAATAATGCGTGCTTTCTTTCTAAGATGAGGAAAGAGGCAACGAGGCCCAGACTCACCACTTGCATTCACCACTGTACTGCAAGTCCTGGTCATTGCAGGAAGACAAGGAAACAGACAAGAAGCAAAATATGTACAGTTGGAAAGGAAGAAATAAAACTGTTCCTATTTCGGAAGACAATTGTCTATGTAGACAATCCTGATTAATCTACAAAAAAAAAAAAAACCTAATAACTAAGTTTAGCAAACTTAGAAGATACAAAGTACCAAGTCAGCCTAAAAAATCAGTTGTGTTTCTGCATACTACCACTGAGCAATTGGAAACCAAAATATTTTTAAGTACCATTTACAATAGTTCCCCAAAAAAGAAAATAAACCTAACAAAATCTAAAAGTTATAAATCTAACAAAATATGTGTGAAATCTGTATGCTGAAAACTGTAAAATGCTGAGGAAAGAAAGAAGACCTAAATACATGAAGAGACGTATTCATGAATTGAATGACTCAACACAGTTAAG